TTTTTATAAGCGCTGTTCTTTGGTCCATTAACTGTCTATTATCAGCAAAATAGTACGCTTACGAATGCTATTGACGATAAAACCCAATAACCGTTTTACCTCTATGATTTATAACAATGGGCTTCTTCTACCATGGGTCATGAATCAGGCATCAGACGCATGCAATTCTTTTAATATTTGATAAAGTTTTTACTTCCTCCTGTGATACTATCACAGCTTATTAAATAATAATTAATACCAACATTGGGAGTTATTTTTATACAGGGACAGGACTCTGAAAGGGGCGGGAGGAGGAAGAACCGTTATGCGAGTTACGTGGTACCGAGCAGGGGTGAGGTTGTTCCCCTTCCTAAGGTTGGGGGACGCCAGGGACCTGTGGGGTACAGAGGATAATTTTTTCCATTAAAAAAATGTAAAAGATGCAGGTGAATGGGAGGCTTGAATCTGTCACTGCTCAAAACATTCTTTATCCAAAACAGTCATTATCACGAAAAATGAGCATGAAAAACCAGATCACATCATGAAAACAAAATTATGCACTGACTAAATGGGCAGAAATAAAACTTTTAGTAAAATCTGTCGTCATCTGCATAAAATTAAAGCGCCTCATGATCGTTTATTAGGGATTTTCGGCAACCATAGGGGTTGGGGCTGAGGTTATAAAATTTGAGGAAATAGTGCCTGCCTCTAGATGGCCGGAAATGACGCTTTTATATAGAAAAATGCATCATCACATCACCATTATATAATATAGTCAAAATGAAGCGCCAACAAATTTTAATATTATTACTATTATTATCTATTAGGGGTCATCCATTATTTTCATCATTTTCACAAGAGTACAAAACATACTCTTTTTGCCAACCCCTCCCCCTCTGTGAAAGTGTACATGATAAAATGATGATTTTCTTCCAGTGTTTTATAGACGATACAGGTATATATATATATGTGTATATATATATATATGTGTATATATATATATATATATATATATATAGCATATACATATAATTTATATATATATATATATACATACATACATATACATACATATATACTGTTATAGATACATATATATATATACATATATATATAGCATATACATATAATTTATATATATATACATATATACTGTATATAGATATACATATATAAATATATACATATATATATATAAATAAATATATATATAATATATAGATATACATATCTATTTTTCATTCTGTTGTGTGCGCTTTTTTTTACCTCCTTTTGATTTTTTTTTTTCTTAAAATTAAAAATGACTTTCATAGTCACCATCATTATCATCATTATTACAGTACGACTACTGTAACACAACTTTATAAACACTTGCAAAAGGATAAAAACCAAACTGAACATTACAATAGCACAGTTCTGTATCTTATAAGACATGTCCTGGGATTTATGGATTTAAGACGAATTTAAGCTGATTTTTTCCACCCCCTGAGCAGTAGCCGTTATAGACCCAAAAATCAAAATTTTTGCATTATCGTGTATAGTGAAAAAATGATTAATCTAACGAATAGGCTATTCCACTGGATTACTATCAGATTAGCGGGTGACTTATATTAACAGACGATTATAGTAGGTTTCAGAGCCCGGGTCCCAAACCTAAAGTAGGAGTGAAATGGAAATTGTACAGCATTTAAATCAAAACCAAATTATATATATATATATATATAATGTTTACATATTTATATATTTTAAATGTATTCATTTTGAGTGATCTCAGGAAAGAATTTGTATTGGCTAGCAAAAAAAAGCATTAGAAATCTAACACTGTTTACAAGGGGGCTGGATACGTTTCTGTATTATAGGTCTGTTTACAGGGTTTAATTTTAACCCCTAAATAATAACACGCTTTTGGCTTGTTTGAAGAACATAGTGAAGAATAGGACCACAGAAAGTAACCCAGTGATCAATTTTTGGCGCTATTTATTCTATTTATGGCCTACCGTATATAATCTTGTTCCAAACCACTCCGTGCACATCCGGTGCCAAATTAAATTGCCTCGCGGGGAAAGCATACGGGCCGCCGATTAAGA